TCCAATATCTGATAATACATTAAAAGAGTGGCTTTCCTTGAAATGAAAGCGCACATGCTATGGAATGGTCTCGTGTCAGGTTACAGACTTCTGTCCTATAAATCTTGACCATCCCATATGGGGCCAATTCTCACTACGCACTCAGTTTCTATTGTACTCATTTGGATTCTCCAAGCCCTGGCTAATCACAACAATCATGAGGCATTCTAATATAAGTAGGAGGTGACCTTCACACCTCGTTGAGAAATTGCTTTCTCAAAGCATAAGCTCTCAATGCCTCATGTACTCAGGGTATGAGAATCTGTCCCAGTTTGCTAGGCACCCAGATTCTATCTCTCTCATTCACTCCCACTAAGCGAGACATTCTTGGCATTAAGGCCTTGAAAGGCCATATTGCCAACATTTCATAACTTGGTTCTATTTTGTGTTGTTCTTTCTAGTGCACATTGTATGAGATACAAGTTTGGATTATGTGACTACTACGTCTACTTTTGTGGCTTTGGAAGCAAGTTATGTTGTGATGTACGAAGAACTTGAAGAAACAGAGAAAATCAGCAAGAAGCACACAATTTTGGAGAAACCTTAAGGATTTCTCCCACCTAAGGGGCAAAACCTTTGGCTTCTTTCACAAGACAAAGTCTTTCTTTTCTTAAAGAGGAATACATGAACGACTCTCTAGCCCATCCATGCCTTTATTTATATTGGAAAATTATTGTTTTGGACAATATTTTTCCATACAATTAACTTTTGACCAAAAGGTCTTAACTTAATATAACTTAAAATTAAACTCCCTAACTTGAATTAAAATATCGAAAAAGTCTCTAATTGGCTCGGCAATGAAATAAATAAAAAGACTACAAAAACCCTAGAATCCCTGAAATACTTAAAACCCTAGAAATAAGCCCTAAAAGCAAACTATAATATACATCCTTTAAAGTTGAATAAAAATAAAGAATAAGAACAATTTTTCCTCCATCATGTTGCTTTACCTTGACTTTCCATATTATGATCCTGGTGACTTTATCCTCCCCCCATGGGGTTTTCTAGCAGCTTCTTTGATTTTGTGGGTTTCCTCACAACATCTTTGAGGTTTTGATGGTTCAATGATTACAATTTGGGGAAGCTTTGCATTAGCTAGAGTTCTGTGAGCTAATAATAGACAGTGTTGTCTTATATTGTGTAACTGGGTGTTTGGGTATAATTTTGACTTACCCTAACTTTGCCTTAATACATCTTTGGGAAAGCCTTAACATATTCTCATTTCTTTAATTAGGTCATGCATCCGAACTCGAGTATTAGACACATAAATTTGAGTTGATTCTTTGGTACATTTATAAAGTATCGGGGATGACGTCTTATATTTACGACCCCCTAGTCCGAATATAGATTTAAAATTTGTATTAACCTTGATTTGCCCAATACAAGACTCTTTGGTGAATTTGCACCCATTACGAAACTCTTTGGTGAATCTGTTGCTCATACCACGAATGCTCTGATGGAAATGAAAAACAAGTCTCGTCATTCTATCTCATACTTTTGTGGTAAAGATAATTTCTGAAAAAACAAATCATGATATATATATATATATATATATATTGAGGAATCGATGCAAATTTAGCGATTCTTGAGCTCCCATTGAAAATTGTGTTGGAAACTTCAAACCCATTTTTTTGTGCTTCAGAGGCTTTCTTGACATCTACCTCATTACTCTGAACCAATGGTTTAAAAAACGGATCGATACGCCAGATCGAGCACCCCAAAAACCCATTCGAATCGGTGATCCGGATCGAGAATCGGTCGGATTAAGCCTTAAAAAAATCCAAAAAAATTATTAAAATTTATTATAAATGTTGTTTTTTAGGAATCCAATATGAAATGGGGGTACTACATTATTAACTTTCATTTTTTTCATCAATATGCGAATATTGAGATGTTTTTTCTCTGTATGAACTTATGTTAACTATTAAATTTATATCACACAAAAGAAAAATCATAGAGTTATCATGAATGAAGTATATAATCATACATGGACTACAATAAAAAACGGATTAAATCGATGAAAAAATGACCACATTTACACTAAATCTGAAATGCTAAAATTTACAAACATAAAATCACAATGCAAGGGAATGGGCTCTACAGAATCTCCTTTAAAAAAGCTAAATTAGATACAAACAACGTAGTGCTTGAGAGTTACAACCAAAACTCATTAAATATCTGCTTAATAAAACAATAAGTGAACAAGAGATTACAACTTGCATCAATCCAAAACAAAGAGTTAATCAAAACACAAAGAAACAAAAAATAAGCATAAATGACTTCAAAACTAAGGTTTAATCACATTTACCCTTTTCCAACGACTTCTGGTTCATCTTCCACTACAAACTTTTGCATCAAATTCTCAAAAGGCATAGAATCACTCTTTTCGTTTACTGATAAATTAACAGGCCGAGCGTGCAATTTCTTAAGTGGCGTATTTGTACCATTTGTTTCCACAAATGGTAACTCCCTCTGATTTGAAACCTAGACACCTCTGCAACAGTTGAGGTTTTCTTCATAGTTCACTTGGTTCGTAAGGAACTGCATTTTCTGTCGTTGGATAAGCATCTCGGCATAAGAAGACTTGCTGGAATTCTCATTTCCCAGCGAGGGTTTGCTAAAAATTGAATCAATCGATTTTTGGCGCTGCATTTTAGAGAGAGATGAAAAATGGCGTTGCATTTGTTTCCACAAATGGTAACTCCCTCTAATTTGAAACCCTAGACACCTCTGCATCAACTAAGGTTTGCTTCACTCGGTTCGTAGGGAACTGCATTTTCCACCGCCGGATAAACATCTCGGCGTAAGAAGACCCGCCGGAATTCTCATTTCCCTGCGAGGGTTTGCTAACAAATGAATCAATCGATTTTTGACGCTGCATTTTAGAGAGAGAGAGAGATGAAAAATGGCACTGCATTGCAAGAAACAGATGGGAAACAGGTGAAAAATGACTAGTAAAAAGCAAAGGTATAAATGAAATTGTCCCACATCGAAGAGATGTGAGATGAACAAGCCCTATAAAAGGTAAACCAATTATAAAGGTTAGCCAATGACGCGAGCAGGGGCATGTGTAAGTGGATTGTGTAAGGGACTTTCACTAAGTTGACGTAAGCAAAAGTGGGGCTATGACGTCAAAGGCGATTCACTGTATAAACTTACCGTGTTACTGTAGAAATCACCGATTTTTCATTGAAAACACCGGTTCAATTCTAGAACCGCCCGATTCCGGTATTTCACCAAAATTGGCACGGGGTTGCCGATTCCCGTGTTGACCCGGGCAATTTCTGGTCGACTCGCCATTTTTTAAATCGCTGCTCTGAACAGTACCATGAATGGTACTGTGAATAGTACCATGAATAGTACTTGTGAATAATAAATAAAGAAGATATAAGAAAACCCTAGAATCACAAAAAAAGCTTAAAATCTTAAAAATATATCATAATATACATCATTTAAAATTGAATAGAAATTAAAAATAAGTATAATTTTGTCCATCAAATCTTTTGGTCCCACCCGATTGTACTCCCATTGGTGTTATCACATGACTATAGTCATAGTTTTACATGATCTCATAAGGCCTTTAAATGGCCACATTACCCTAATAGAAAAGATGGATATAACTCATCATAAAGGTGTTTGAGAGTCGCATACCCCTCAAGAGTATGTCCGTCTCTTTCCATAAGCCCATGCATTTTTCATTCCTCATTATTTCCTACGGTTCTCTGCTTCCATAGAAAAAAAAAGAATTCCGTTCATTCCTTGCGAGAACTCTCAACTCATCTCTATCAATGGCTGGGGAGTTACACTATGAACTTATTCTCTTGGTTCTAGTAATCACGAGACTGATTTGGGACTTTGTATGTGGCATAAGGAGAGGAAAGAAATCCTAAATATGTTAGGATAGATATTTCAAATGAAAGTTATTTGGAAGGAGGGATCAGTAAAATCCACACAAACGGGATCATATTCAAAAGAGGCATGTAACCTCTATTTGATCCCTATGCCTTTGTGTATGTGCTTTGATGGCCTTTTCTCTATTAAATTAAAAGAAATGGGTGAGATGTTAGATAATTAGCTCTTGGGTGCTTTTTGATAAATTTCCCATATAAAATGATATATTCATGTTTTATATATGTATCATTATATTGATTAGACTACTTATGTCCATATCTCTATTCTGGATTGGAAAATGCTCTGCTGTATCCCTACTGGCAATGTTCATGTCTGTGTCCATTCCTATATCTACACATCTTAGATTGTAGTATATTTGGTTGGATATTATTAAGTGCTGCACCTTTGACTTGAAAACTCATGCAATTCATCAAATCATTCTCTATTTTTTTGCATTTATCCTGAAAAGGAAACCATTGGCAGGAAAACTGTATGCTATCATATTTCCTTGAGCCCATAAATAAAGTTCTGATAATTACAGACGTTCATATGCAACTTAACAAAAAGATACACAACTTGATAGAAAATAAACAAAGGAAATTTTTATGTGAATAAGAAAAATGTTACACCCTAAAGTAAACTTTTTCATGACCTTTGTAAAAATATTGGTATATTGGGACTTAATCTCATACACGACATAAAATGAAATTAATAGACAATGAAAATTTTATTTCAATCATTTTTGTTTTTGACAGACTTAAGTGAAATTCTTTTATACAACGACCTTTGTAAGATGTTGGTAATACTGGAGCTTTGATCGTTTGAACAATGCTGGAGACGTTTGAGTTGTATAGTAGATCATGGATTGTCTTGGCATGCGTTTCCTGGTAGCGTTGAAAGAGAGAAATTTTCAACAGGTTTCCAGGTTTAGAACTAAGTTCCTTTGCTATGCTATTCTTGGACAGGAGTTTGAGCTTAGTTCAGAGCATAATTTACTTGTTTAACAGAATAAAGGAAAATAGATAGTGTTGTTTAGTGTCCAAATCGCCTTCGTGTTTATCATGACTCAGGAAGCGGAGTTACACCGACACGGCAAATTTCACCCTGCGTTGTGGAGTTTGTCAGATGGGTCTTATTGGTCAGAAGGTATTTTCCTTTATGTCAGATTTTGTTTCAATTCTTTGACAAACTGACGTTTAATTCCATCTGTTTTGCTTCTGATTACACAGGAGGCTGTGGAGCATGCAAAAGCAACAGGCCATATTAATTTTCAGGAGTACCGCTAGGATGGTTATCCCCTGAATGAATGGTATTTTGGTCTGTTTGGGAGAAAAAGAATGCTGTATTAACTGATTCATTTGTATAATATGTGATCACTTTTTTTACCATATTCCTAGAGCTCTTTCATAATGGGTATAGGTTTATCTGAAATTTATACCGCCTGTGTTGTTGTATCCATAATTCCCATATAAGTAATGGGGCATTAATTGTGAATTTCGGGAAAATTGTAACATGGTGAAGCATATTGTGTGTATAAAGGTACGTAATAGTGCTCAACAGTTTCTGTGTGTACATGGCAGGCCCCATTTATTTGGCAGTTGCAATTGCTAATGTTTGAAAGAGTTCTTGTTAATGAACTTATTGTTGACTGGTTCTTGCGACAATGGATGAAGTATCAAGTTGGATTGGTTTGCTATGGTCTGTGAAGCTCTTCATCCGTCCCGCTGGGTTTTGGGTTTGAAGTCGATCTTTAACTTAGCTGAAAAGTAAGCAACCAGATGTTACTAGCGTGCAGCCCTTGCGATGCATGGGCAACATGAGAATTTTAAAGAAGAAACCTGTCAAGACCTATAATAAATACTTCAGGATTGCATCTGTAAAGAAAAATAATAATCAGAAAGTAAAATAAATGACAAGATTAAAGGTTCAATATTCAAGACACATGCATGCATCAAGGGAAAACCTTACCATAAAATACCTCCCTACTTGCATCTGGAGAAAACCTCTTCAACTTGTGAGTACAGAAATCAAAGAGTGAAAAGCAATAATCATGAGTGAAAACAATGTAAAAATAGTAGCAGCGTCAATCACAGATTCAGTACGATGAGAGAATAGATATTGAGAAAGGATAAATATGAACTACAAATGCTTGAATGGGCGGAGAAGTGCGGGGGCTCCACATTTCTCACATTTTCCTCCTTTTTGGGGAAAAGCTGCATGCTTCCAAGAAAAAGGGAACATTGCCTCTCCCTATACTCTCTCCAAAGGTGCGTTTGTTTGCGGGAAGATAATCGATCCCTGGTAAAAAGTTTTCTTTTTTGGGAAGTGAAATGTTATTTTCAAAAAAGTTAAAAGAAGTTCGGAGTATTTGTGTTTGACAATTTGCTGGAATGTTAAACAAGTTTTGGGTACTGGTGTCTAATAAAAAATACATATTAATAATATAAATATAAATATAATATATATAATAAATATAATATTATATTATATTAATAATACTAATATTATGTATTATATTATAATAATATATACTATCTAATATTATATAATATAGTATAATATAAAATAAAATATTATTAATATATTATATATTAAATATTATTGAAATACAATTTATATATTCAATATATTATTTAATATAAATAAAATATTATAGAATATATATTAAATTGTAAATAGTGAATAGTGATCACCAGGAGCTGTAATCAACAAAGAAGTTTGAAGAGTTTGGCTTCCTAGAAACCCCATAGAACTTCAATTTTCTCATTTTAAAAGAGAAAAGGATCTTTGTGCTTAAGTTTAAGTTCCTAGTAATGTAGCGGTTGTTGACATGTATGGTTATGAAGTCTTATGTGTCTTAGCTTACTTTTGTGGAAATTCAATATATATCCAACGATCATATGGTTCAACATCCATACGAGAGTAACCCTTATTTTTCTCAAGAGATTCGTTGGAGATCAAGAAACTCCTTCGTTTTCTCAGATACCCGTTGGAGAAATACAACGGTTAACCTTTTTTCTCCCTATAAAATGGGAAGCCAGAGAGAGAAAAGAAGAAGAAGAAGCAATAGACGTACAATTCTCTCTCTAAAAGTGAAGGGATCAAAATCCGGGTTCTGTGATCACCAGCCTCACGATACCTTTTTTCTGATCTCGGGTTTTGTCTTATACACAGTCCATTAAATTTTCACTAACACTGGCATCAGAGCAATCCGGATTCCATTATTTTTTATTTTGTGTTTATTATGAATTATTACCCCTGTGAATTTTTCGGGTGCGTTTTATTTTTTGTGTGTTTTTGCCATTTTGGCAGTTTGGTATCGATCGGTTTTAGAGGTGTTGTGAACGATTTCATGCCATTGAAAACCACTGGTCATTGCGATCTCAGAGTTTTTTCGTCTTGATTTTTTCTCTCTGAAAAGGGGAAACTCTTCAAATAAATAGACTTTAATTGCATTATTGCAGTGACTTTAAGTGAATATCACTGATTGTCACTTAATATCATGCATTTTGATATTTTGATAAGCACGTATTGTTTAAGGGCTACAAGGTCGTAGTATTCTGTTTCTTAGGAAGCATATTTATAATTACTTATTCCAAAACTATAACAACATTATAGCTATATTTTGGCATGTGCAAATTCTCAGCATATTTATAATTACTTATTCCAAAACTATAACAACATTACAACTATATTTTGGCATGTGCAAATTCTCAACATGATAAATTTTGTTTAAAGGATTGATATCACAGATATTATACCAGCATTATATTTTGGCATGTGCAAATTCTCAACATGATAAATTCATTTATATTGTTTAAAGGATTGATATCACATATATTATACCAGCATATTTACTGCATTTAATATTACTTCTGCATTATACTAACAAGATAATTACAAAGTGATATGGATGGATAGATATTTTAGATTTCATATGGTAGAATTTTGTGTCACAGAGATATAATCGCCTCTGTGAATAAAATTATTTGTGCGGCTGAAATTTTTTTTTCCTTCTTTGATAAATATCAGTGGCTACAATTTTTTGGTATTTTGTTGCCTTATATATTTCTATTAAAAAAAAAAAGGAAAGGGTGATGAATACATATTTTGCTGCCTTATATATTGCTGATATTTCTATTAAAAATATAATAATAAAAAAAGGGGGGGAGACGAAAATTATAGAAAACTTATTTATTACTCTATTATTTTTTTTATTGCTAATATTTGAATGCAATTATGCACTTACTGCTTTAAATTGATGCTTGATATTTGTTCTTTTATTATAAAGGCTCACACACTTTGATATTGCTCTTGCACCCTTGATAAATTATATAAAGGAGCATTTTTTTTATATTACATATGATAATTGTAGTGCTTGCTTATAGTTTTGGACCACATATTAATTTTTTATGCCTTGTTTAACTTCTTTAGAACTTAGAAAGAATTAGTTTGCTCACACAATTCTTAGTAAATGGCCAGCAGAATTGTAATGGTTGAACTTTCTAAAGTTGAGAAATTCAATGGAAATAATTTTGGGATGTGAAAGAGGAAGATGAAATATCTTCTCATCCAAGATGGAATAATATATATACTAAGAGAAGATCCACCAGAAGTTGGTGACAAACCAAGTGAAGAAGAAAGAAAAAGGCTAAATTTTTTTTTAGAAGATGACCTCATAGCAAAAATATCTATGTTAACTTTTATGCAAGATGTCCTCATTAAGGTTTTCGAGCATCATGAAACATCTAAGAAAATACTAGAGGCAATAAAAACTAAATATGACTCAACCTCTGAAACACACCTCCAATTGATATTAGAGCAATATAATTCATTTAAGATGAAGGGCGGTAATAATATAGTGGAACATGTTAACAAGATGCTCGTTATGGCTAAGGACATAGTCATTATTGGGAATGTTTGTCCCTGAGTGCATGCAAGTTTTCACTATTTTCAATAGTCTTCCACCTTTGTGCAGGATGATCACAATTGCACTTAGGTTAAATGAAAAATCTCTTACATTAGGGGACCTACCTATGCAACTTGCCTTAGAGCAAGAGCATATGAACAAAGATAAAGGAGTGAACTTATGCTTACTCAAGGACCTCCCAAATTTAGCCAACCCAAGCCATATAACTAGTAATTTCAAGGGAAGTTTAATAAGATGAATAATAGGTTAAAAAACAGAGGAATTAAACCCTACAACCAAGAATCTAAACAATGACCGCCAAAATGCTTTTTATGTGGTTAGCCAAGACACTTCAAGAACTGCTATCTACAAAATAGAAACCCCCAAAATCCAAAAAATAGCAGAAATGGAAGCAAGAATTGCTACCCACAAAATAGAAACCCCCAAAATCCAAAGAATAGTAGAAATGGAAGCAAGAGGCGTTGTTTGTGTGGTCTCTCAGTGCCTGATGGCAAACCATAACATCAAAAGATGGTGGGTGGACTCAGGCGTTAATTGACATATCGCAAACTCAAACGGCCTCTTTGAGAACTTTCAAGAAATAAAAGCCAAGGAAAAATACATCTACATGGGGAACAATATCTATTTTGATGTATTAGGTGTAGGAACTTGTAAGTGTATATAGGGACAATCGACCTTGTATTAACTAATGTATATTTTATCCAAACTGATGTATATTTTGTCCCTTCTATAAGACGAAATATTGTATCTGTCCCCTTGCTCATTAGAAATGGTTTTGAAGTCCTAATCATTGAAAATATCAATCGGAAAGCGTGGACACTTAGTTAATAACCACAACTTGTTCCTACTTCATATAAATGAGAAAGCTAACAATAACTGGTTTTATTAATTGTGTAATGGTTGTTGATGCATATACTCAGTTAAGTAAGCTAACGATAACTGGTTATATTAACTGAATAAGCTAAGCTATTCCAGTTATCCGAAAGGAAAGAAAGGTTGCAAGTGGGATGTGATATATTCACCAATCCCACACTTCTTTCAACATCGAGGATTTTGTAGATATTTCAGTGATTGGCGAGGCGTCGAATTTTATCATCCTAACATAAATAGAAATCTATGTTTCTTTTCCAATTGAATCATCAATCAGAATTGGGGCTATGCTGTTATTTTTATCATCAACAGGTTACCTATGCCGGTGCTACAACACTCCTTATCATCAGCTGTTGAACAAGAATCCAGATTCTTCGACATTGCGCGTGTTTGGTTGTATTTGCTTCCCTCATATAGCTGCCTCCCTGTGGACTAAGTTCTCACCAAAGTCTATGGAGTGTATATTTGTTGGATACAGTCTAAGTCATGTCACAAGGGCTATCGCAGTTTTGACCCTTGCACCATGAAGAAACTCATCTCCCGGCATGCCACTTTTGATGAGAGCCGATGTTATTCAACAGTATTGCAGCCACTTCACTCAGGCTTTTACCTGCTCCCCCGGGGGAGAATCCGCACTCTATATTGCCACCGCCACTGGGATTGATGTATCCAGTTGTAGGCAGAGCAGCTCTCACCCAAGCCCATGTACTTTCATACATGAGCTGACGACAGCCCTTCTACAACTCTAGTGTCAGCATCATCTGAGCATCCCCCTCGTTGAGATGAGTTCATCAGATTCCTCCTGTCATGATGATTCTACTTTACAGGCGATT